CAATGTCTTGAGGTGTGGCAACCGTAGTATAAGCGGAATAATTGACTCCGGACCGTTGAATTATTAGAAAAATAATGCACACCCGAGGTGTAACGGCCACTCCGCTTCGCGTCGTGGCCGCATCACCACCTCGGGTGTGCATTATTTTTCTAATAATTCAACGGCCCGTCGTCAATTATTCCTTACTTAATTATGGTCTAATAAATGTCACCTTTGTGTTCTTTGTGGAAAAAATTGTCATTTCTGTAAACCTGGAGCTTTCAAAGCACAGGGGTTGAATACTTATGAAAACAGCACGTATTTATTTTCATCTTTTTTGTGTTAGCAGACAACTGGCCTATTTTGCCATTTTAAAATACAATAGAGCAAAAGATTTCTCAACATAAATGTTATGTGAGAAAATTTATATATTCTTTTATACTCCAGACAATCGTCATAACTTTCAGGGGGTTGAACACTTTTGCAAGCTTTATATGGATGTAAATGGTCTCTACAATCTCAGGCCCAAAGCACTTGCCAAAGGGAGAAACTACTCTTCTCTAGTCTGCCTGAAAGACCTCATTGGAATTCCAGAGCTTACTTTCTTGACTTACTGAGGTCACCCATAGCACAATCCTTATTGGCCACCTACCTGCAAGGCTCAGACTGCAGACTGCAAGACAGGGGTGGAACATGTGCTGAAGAATAACTATTATGCACAATGAATGACTTAATAATGTAAATGAAAGGGGAAATGTGTTGCCATGTCATTAAGCAGCCAGATATTCTAAAGCTGGATTTCCTGAAAACATGGCTTCTGAAGCACCCTGTGTTTCCTTTTTACGATTCTTTAGCAAATTTGTATGAATGTCTGCATATCGATTGGGCCTTTTTTTCACAGGTCCACCAGGGGATCCTGGAGTTGATGGGCCCAATGGAAATATAGGTTTTCCAGGAGCCAATGGTGCACCTGGTAAAGCAGGATTGCCAGGTAACTAGCAGCACTCATACTTCTTCAAAATGAGTAACAGTACACCCATACATATTTTCACTACATAGTCTTTGATTAACACTTACAACACTTACTTTTGACATATTATGCTGCAGTCCATTAGTTGTTCGTGAGATGGTTAGCAGCAGTGGTGGAACAACTGCACACAAGGCCCCGGGGCAAAACACTAATTGGGCCCGCACTCCTGTCCCACGCACGCACACACACACGCACACACACACGCACGCATACGTATATGTGGAGGCGCTGAAACAAGTTTTAAAGTGTAGGTGCAAGAACACAAAAAACTTAATGAGAGAATTTGACTGTCCCTCACAAAAACCATAAAGTTTTAGTGGCTAAATTGCATTTTCTACGCCTTTTCAGACAGGAGAAGATTTGTTTGGCTATACCTAGAAAACAACGTTGTTACTAGCCGTGTTAGGAAGATTACTTTGGAAATGTAATTCGTTACAATTACAAGTTACTCTATTTAAAATGTAATAGTGTAACTATTTCAATTACTATATGAAAGTAATGTAACTGATTATATTTGATTACTTTTTGATTACTTTTCTAAATTATGAATGAATATTCTCAACCGTAAACCATTTTTAAATAAAACCTGGTAGTGTTTACCTTACAGCAGTACTAAACACTGACTACTGTCAAACTCCTTTGAACATGTTTCAATACATGAATTAACATGATTATAATTGATCAATTTAATAAAGATACCAAACATACCATACATACCATATAGGCCTAATAACGATCTTAAACAACGGGTAAGAATAGATCCTTGCTTCATGCTCAGTGAAAAACCAGATTCCCTCAATGTAACAAGTCATAACATTAATGTTACATAAAGTATACCTAAAATGTATAAAAAAAACTGTTAAAACTCAGCCTTCAGTTATTAAATTCTAATGTGTGTTCATAATGTAAACTTTTTGGGAGTCAAAACAAGATAAACTACGAGTGATTTGACCACTCTGTGACGCTTCAGGATTACATTATGATACAAACATTTTATGTACTTGCGAAAATAAATGGTTCCATTTTACTTCTGATCTGAACAGTTCTTGCATCAGACAGGATATGAAATTTCAGCTGATTGTGTAATCACTTACTCTGTCTAAGTCAATTTTTTCCAATCACAAATCACGGAGTAGCCTAAAACAGTGTCTTCGCAGCACTGTAAAATAAAATGGGTTAGCAGAGTGGTAAGGCTGCATCGCCCCACCTTTAGCTCCACTCCTGGTTAGCAGTATGCTTGATTGTATTCTCAGGATGCAAAGGAGCTAAGGGCGATGCTGGTGCTCAGGGCACCGCCGGCTGTCAAGGACTGATAGGCACTCATGGACCAAAAGGACATAAAGGTGAACCCAGCCCCCCTGGATTTGGCCAAAAAGGAGCAAGAGGAGCAAAGGTATGGGTGTCCGCTTACTGTCAGAAAGCCTTTTGACACCTACCTTATAACTATACCCAGCTCAGTACATCAAAAATGTGTTCCATTTTCTATTTTTTGAGATTATGACATTACTCCATCCCACCTGATGCTATATAATTTGACATCATCCAGCTCACTAGTGTTTTTAGACCAGCACTACACTACACAACTCATTACTTCCTAACAACGGGGTGGGGGGGTTTATTGCAAGCACAGCACACAAAACGGGGAAAACTTCAATGAAAGATCAGGGCGACAGACTCTGACGTGGACTTAAATACACAGGACTAGACGAAACAATAAGAAACAGTTGGGAACAATCGGATTGCACGCGAACTTAATGAGGGGCGTAGCACACGAGAGGGTCATACGAGCAGGTCATGACAGGTATGGGCATACTTTTTGTTACAATTTTGTATTTGTCTAGAGAAGACTTGATTCAAAATAAAAAATTAGTCACCATGTTAATCTACATCAATCCAAAGTTTTTATTTTCACGTTATTGCACTTTATTTTGCTTGATTTATGGGACATACTTGACTACACTAGATTTTATTTAAAGTTCCCAATAAAATATGATAAAATGCTAATTATATTTGCCTTTTTTAATTCATTGAAATGTAAAGGATTGTGTGAAATTTCATCATTTTGACTACTATCCCCAGTATCAAACTGAATCGTATCATAACATAACGTATCGTGGGAATTTCTGAGGTATTAAAATTGAACCGTTGGCTTAAGGAATCTATATTGTATCGTATCGTGAGGAAAGCTGTGATTTACACCCCTAATAGGTGGCACTACTTTCACTCTCACAATTAAAAGGGTTGCAATAGTATTGCACAGTCGTCTCACGCCACCATCTTGGTACATTGTCAGTCATGGTAATAGAGTACTCAGAGAATGCAACCTAGTTTGGTCAAGTCAGGCTTTATTCTAACACCAGTCAATTTCAGTACACTACTTACGGTGACGTGAAATAATCTCTGTTCATCTGTGTCTAATTTTTCCCATCTCCATGTTTCACAAAGTCACCTGCATGACCTCTCCCACCACATCCATAAACTTACTCTTAGTTCTTCCTCTTTTCCTCTTGCCAGCAACCTTCACCCATTATACTCAGCATCTCTCCTCTGTACATGTCCAATCCAATGCAATCTTTATCTCCAAACTGTCCAATTCTAGCTGTCCCTCTAATATCCTCATTCCTCATCCTATCCATCCTTGTCACTCCGAATGCAAATCATAAAATCTTTAACTCTGCCATCTCCAGCTCTGCCTCCTGTCTTTTCATCGGCGCCACTGTCTCTAACCGATATAACATCGCTGGTCTCACATCTTGTAGACCTTCCCTTTCACTCTTGCTGATACCCGCCTGTCCCAAATCACTTCTGCTACTCCACCTTGCCTGCACTCTCTGCTTCACCTCTCTTCCTCACCCCCCCCCCCCCTTACACTGAATTGTTGACCCCAAGTATTTAAACTCCTCCACATTCTCCAACTCTAGTCCCTGCATTCCGCTGTCATTCATGCACATATTTTACGTCTCAAGACATGTATTCTGTCTTATGGGTAACACTGAAGAAAACCATGGGTAACACTAAAGCAAATGAAAGCACTAAAAGTCTGCAGGTGCAATTTATTTGCTTCTGGCTGGGTACAAGAACTCCAGATGGAAAAGTGTGGATGAAATATTTTAGTGCATTCACTAAGTACGAGTATAAGAATACATTTCATGCTTATTATATATTGTTTTTTTGTTATTTCATTTTCATCACAATGTTAACTTAATTATGTTGCTTTGCAGTGTTAACACTACAGTGCTGTGCCTGCTTTTATTGCTTTTACAATAAATCTGGTTTGATCACTACTGGTTTTGATCATTAGTGAAGGTGACTTGAACATAGAGTCAAAATGTAATCCAGTAGTGCTTTGTGAATTCAAATTCCCATATAAACCTTTAGCCATTTAGATTTTTTTAAATGTTTCTCCAAATATGGAAAACTACTATACGGTATTTCATATCTCATTCCTATTAGACTGACATTGAATCGGAATCTAATCGTATCGGATTGAATCAATTCCCAGCCCTAATCATCACAATCAATTCCTACATAACGCTACACATTGCTACAGAAACATCTGAGCATCTGGGCTAATGATTCATAAAATATTTCCAGCAAACCAAATGCTAACATTGCTAATCCTCTTTTCCTGTGATTTTTGGGGCACTTTTATCCAGGGTGATCCAGGACAGCAAGGCATTAAAGGAGAGAAAGGGGAAATAGGTGAACCTGGAAGCCTAGGACCTCATGGCCAAAGTGGTTCTCCTGGTCCTAGAGGAAATGAGGGATTCCCAGGAAATGAAGGTACCTTAATGTACAGTAAAAGTAACAGGCAGTGACTAAAAAGGCTATATTTTTCCCAGTTGTTGTTGTTATTATTGTTGCTGTCTTCTTATCTCAGGAAGTCCAGGCTTACCAGGAGAGAGGGGATCAGATGGCATTCGTGGCCTCAATGGGCTCCCAGGGCCTAAAGGCCTTCAGGGTATGAGAACACAATGTAACTGAAGAGATGTGTTTCAACTATTACTATTGTCTATACTGCCTACAATATTTTAATATTCTGTTTTTAAGACCCATGCCTTTCACATTTAGCTGTAAGTGTTTGAAATCAAATGTGTGCAGTGTTTAAGACCTGTGATTATGTATAAGACGTGGCAGGATGGCACAGCCCTGTGACACAGGGATCAAGAAAGAAATTGGGATATTATAGGAGATAAGGGATAGGAGTAAAAACTGGTGTAGCAATAGCAAAATGAAAGTACAATCTCCTGGGGGGAGCTGAATTCGCAAAGCACTGTCCCCCCCCCACCCCAGGCGATGAAGTTTCACTGTGTGGCCTGTCTTTCTCAGAGGCTGCCAGCAAATGTTGTGGCTCAGTCAGTGAACACTCTGTGCACGTGATCGTAGGGAGATGCCCACTATAGCAAATTGCACTTAGGCTCTGAATACATGTATACCCTTTTGAGCACTCCTGATAAGTTACTTACCCTTTTAGGTAAAACCAAATTAAATCTGACTCCAAATTATGTATGTTAGGGCTTGAGTTTGAATATTCTATCTGGTGAGATTAGAATTGTTCTAATCACTTCCATGCCTACAGTTGACTAACTCTGCTCATTATGGCAGTAATGCTGTGTGGGATCTGCCTTCGACGCATTAAGTGAGATTCCCATACCCAGTATACATTCAGATTAATCTCAGTTCAGGGACTGTGGGGCATTTGCAATCTATTAAGTTCAGGGACTGCCTGAAGATTAGATTCAACTAATTCAACTCAAAGGCTGAAAATACAAAGCCAGCATGTTTGGTTAACTAGCTCAGTGACTGGCCCAATATATTTAGCTAATCCAACACAAAGGCTGCATGCATAAAGCCAGCATATTTTGTTAATTAGCTCAGGGATCGTCAGTATATCTAGTAAACACAACTCAGAGGCTGACCAGCAGGAAGCAGATGGTTGACTAGCTAGTTCAGGGACCGATTCACTGGTAGTATGTCTGATACACTCAACTAAGTGGCCAGATAGCAATTTACCATTGCTCAGTATAATGCAACCACTCTCCCAGTTTAACTGAGTCTAGAAATGCTGTGTTTCCCTTCTAATCAGGAATTTATCAGAGTTAGCAAGCAGACAACTACGAAGTAATCAAAACATAATTTATTAGCTGAGTAAAACAATATACATCCATCATCAGTCAACCATGACACAGGGACCAAAATAAATATGTTATGCACATACAAAAGAGCACAGAGACAAAGTGATACATACCCCAGCAGAAGATACACATGGTAGTTGTGAGATTGATCTGGCTACAGAATGCTAATGGCACTGCATTATGTGGGAGCTCTGATTACAGAGTGTCTCATTAGTAAAGGCTACACAAGATGAGTATGCTAATCGCACCTACCATGTGGGGGTTCTCATTACAGAATGTCCCCCTGACTGTCACATGGACCCTTCCTTAAATACCAAACCAAGCAATGGGTTTTCTTTGAAAATGGTGATACACCAACCTCGGACCAGATGTTATGGTTATTGTTTACTTACAGATATTGGTTTTAGGTTGTGATCTCTTTGTAATCCCCTACAGGGTGTACTAATAAAGCACTGAATATATTAGTTCTCAAGACAATGGTCAATTGGAATGTTAATGGTGGGGTCATTGGGGCCTGTTGTTCACTGAGGGGGCAGAGCCTTCCAACAAGCCAAGATTTGTCTAATTCTCTAAATCTTCATAATATAATGATATATTGGTTTAAGACTGAGCCCATTATACTCATTACACTGAGACCATTTAAATGAAACCAAGCATAAGTATGTACATTGATTGGATTAACATCAGAGAATGTTTCCCATTTTGGACTTCTGTGTGACCATTTGGGACCATGGAACTGGGGCAGGGGAGCAGAAAGGGAGGGTGGAGAGGGCAGGATGGGTTTACGATTAATGAGCCAGAGATGGTCTGCCTGTGGGCTCTTTTTCGCACAGTGGGGGTTGAGGTGGGGTTGCTGATAGGATGGTCCGATGGCCTTTGCCCAGCCTCTTTGAAGCCAATTTGACGGGTTCCCCCTGGGTGAGGTGCAGCGCAGGCCTAAAGAAGTCCAGGGTTACAGAGTCCTGTTTGGCCCTTGAGCCAAGCTTTCTAATGTTCAACACTTGTGTGTTGGTTTAGAACCTGATCAACTGATATATAGACACTGATACATTACTTTCAGGGAAGGGAGATTTATTAAAAAGACACAAACCACAGTCAGACAGTCCTGCCAGAAATGAGACATGAACTAGATCCTGCCTGTTTGACGCAACACTGAAGGGCAATCAGTGGAGTTGTAAGACATGTTTAATAAGTAGTTGTAGTGTCTCCTTAGTGATGGGTAACTTGGTCATCAGTACAAAAAAAGACAGCCTTCAAATTGTGGTCCTGTCTCTGAATGGTTAGCTAATACTGGGTCACTGATGCATGAAAGCCTCTCCTTTCTGCGCTGCTCCCAGCAGCACTGGTAGAGCCAGGCGTCTACCCTGAGTGTGTGGTCAACCAGTTTTTCAAACAAGGGAGAGATTTCACAGGTGGTCATTATTTCTTCTGACAAACCATGATAAAACATGTCGCTTTGGGCTTGACCATCCCAACCACTCACCATTGCGAGCATCTGGAAGGTAAGTGCATATTCCAAAACAGACAGGCTTCTTTGATGAAGCTACAGTAGCGCACATGGAATGATGAAATACCAATTTCATTTTCTACACAAATGGGTGAAGTCTGAACAAAAAGAGGCACCAGAATCCCTGGTAGCAGTAACCCATTCCCTGGCAGAGTTGGCTAACAATGTTATCAGAAATGCCACCCTGCTGCACTCTGTAGGGAAGGCAGAGGGCTATAATACAAATACTAGGCAACAACTAGGTTGGGATTCCCTGGGGATGTGGCTATTGTGAGATCTATGTAAAGAGAGTGCTGCCAGGAGCTGCTTCCTATCTGTTAACCAGTTATCAATCCAGGTCGCTACAGTTCCTAAAATACCTGTCGCTTTGAGTTTAAGTAAGAGCCTCTTGTGGGGGACATGATACAGCCACCATATGGATGAAAACTCAAATAGTGATCCATTAGTCAATTACACATGGCTGGCCTGACACGACCGAAAAAGACAGACATAGTAGTGGTTGGTTAAGTACAGTGTTAAGTGAGACTGAGTTAACAGTAACTTGGTTGAGTTAATTGATTAAACATCAAAATTATTGGTTCTTTTTTTTCCCAATAGTTAACTGAGAAACAAGTTTCATTTGGCTTTGGTACTTTCATAATTTAGATGTCATTGTGAGATTATTTAAATGAATTTGTTGTCACAGGAAACCCAGGTGTGGCTGGTTTTCCAGGACCTGCTGGCCCCAAAGGCCAACAAGCACTCTGTGGCTTCCCTGGTTCGTTGGGAGAGAAGGGGGATTTTGGAGGCAAGTGTTGCATTCCTTATCTGTGCTGGCACGTGGAGAATACAGTGAAGATTTACTTCAAATTTTTTTTTTGTTCTCTCCACAGCTTTTGTGATTGGAGAGCTGGGCCCAGATGGGCCAAAGGGCCCAGAAGGTGAGCTGGAAATATGGATGAACTTTCTGTTTTTAGGACCTAAATAGTCCAAGAGAGACACTCAGTTGGAACAGTTGAAATATTGGCATTAAGGTAATCCATCTCCAGCAGAGTTACTTACATGTCATAGAGCTCCTGTTAGGTGTGTTTACTTGCTTTTCCTTGCAACCCTCAGGTCCCAAAGGAGACATGGGTCACATAGGCCCCCTTGGGCCTCCTGGTCCCAGTGGTGTCTGTGGAGAAAAAGGCTCCAAAGGACCCCAAGGCCCTCAGGGAAGAACTGGTGCATGTGGGCAAAAAGGAATGTGTTATTGTGGTCTGAAAGGAGACCGTGGGCATCATGGTTTGACTGGGGACAGTGGTAAGGAGCCAGAGGAAAATAAATTACTAAATAGCCTACCTATGAGTGCATATTAGCAGCCCACTGTTTACTGATTAGAATACTGCATTAGAACATAAGAACTATACAAACGAGAGGAGACCATTTGGCCCATCGAGCTCGCTTGGGGAGAACTGAACTAATAGCTCAGAGTTGTTAAAATCTTATCTAGCTCTGATTTAAAGGAACCCAAAGATTCAGCTTGCACTACGTTATCAGGAAGACTATTCCATACTCTGACTACACGCTGTGTAAAGAAGTGCTTCCTTAAATCCAGTTTGAAATGTTCTCCCGCTAATTTCCACCTAACATGTCACTCGTGTTTTACCCAAGTCATAAAAGATCTTTATATGACACTCAAAATAAATATTCAATACAAATGAACTTGATGTGTCATTAGACATATAAGAAGATCCTTGATGTAAAAAACATTATTGTACCCTCAAA